GTATCTTAGCCATATACATACATGCATACATACATACATACCAGTTCCAAATAGATCAGTTTTGATGGCAAATAGGACTAAGTTACTTACCACCAGCACAGGCATGAGCCCTGAAGTAGGGATCTGGACCGTGTAACCACTAACTAAAATGATTTTCTTTTCCTTTTTTTTTTTTTTTTTTTGAGAGGTTTTTGCTATAGGGCGCGTGCGCTCACCAGTAAGAGACAGAGAGACAGAGAGACAGAAAGTGAGAAATCACCCCCCAGGGAGGATGGGCACGCTGCAATCCCTTCTCCTCCATTCTCCTCTCGGGATCTTGGTCATGCACACACATGCGCCCAATGTGAATTTAAGCCACCGGGTTCAGGACTCAAACCACAGTCAACTACATGAGAGTCCAGCGACATAGCCATTACGCTAACTGCTGGTCCCTGGAATGGTTTTCTAAATAACTTTCAGGAAGTATCTGAAATGAGAGGGGAGCATACACATACGCTATAGACTAGCAGTTGAGCTTGAAAGCATATTTATCAATAACGTAATTTGTACAAATGGAAAGCAAGGATACCAAGTCTTTTCCTTTTTCTTTTTTTCCCCTTCTTACCCTTGTGGTGAACCAATTTTGAGATTAGCTCCCCCAGTGTTCGCTACAGTAATAGTTTATTTATCTGGCCAGAATTACTTTTTTTTTAACTGCAAGGAGAAATGTGAGAACATCTATATCAGTGATTATATATATAAAAAAACCTAAGCTATGAAACCACTTCTTAGAAAATGATGTGGGGGTAGGGTAGGGTGTACCAGCTGGACCCACATGGCTGACTGTGCAGTTCCAGTCCTGGACCCTGTGGTCTGTACAACATACTGTGTGTGTGTGTGTGTGTGTGTGTGTGTGTGTGTGTGTGTGTCCAAAGTCCCAAAAGGAGAAATGGAGGAGAAGGAATTGTGGTGTGACCATCTCCTATGGGTGGTGCTTTCTCACTCCCCACTCACTCCACCCCCATCTCTTTCTGATGAGTGCACATGCCCACCCTTTAGCGAAATAAAAAATAAAAATGAAGAAGAGAAAATGATCATAGGAGCCCTAGTGTATAAAACACCCAGGAGGGGCCAGGCCTATAGCTTGGTGATTAAAGTAAGCCAGATCACACATGGCAGATTTGTGATTCAAATCTGGCCCAGATGGCTTGAAAAACACCCTGGGCACATGCGCGTGTATGCTTAAAATCCTGATAGGATGGAGAAATGGAGGAAAAGGGATTGTAGCATCACCATGCCCCATTCGAGGGTGTTTCTCTTCTCCCTCTCCCTCTCTCTTCCTTTCTGTCTCTTTCTTTTTTTTTTTAAATTATTTTATTTTATTCATTTATTTTAATTTGACCAGAGAGGGACAGACTGAAAGAGAGAGAGAGAGAGAGTGAGAAAGGAAGCCACCAGGTCTGGGACTCAAACTGTAGTCGGCCACGTGGGAGTCCAGCGCCCTTAACCACCTTGCTACCTGCTGGCCCCGCCTTTCTGTCTCTTTCCAGGAAGCACCTGCACTATGTGGCAACTAAAAATAATCAAATCAAATCAAACACACACCTAGGAGTGGTGCTGGTGGAAATGACAGTGGTAGAAGGGGCTCCAAGACCTGGCCTCTTTGTCCCTTGCAGCCAGAAGCATGGTAGTGAAGTCTTAGGTTTCTGTCAGACTTTGTTTAAAACCTGCTGATTTATCTTCCTTTTTACAGTTCGGCACACTGGGAACCAGCAGTTAGCGTAATGGCTATGTCGCTGGACTCCCACATAGTCGACCGCGGTTCGTGTCCTGGACCCGGTGGCTTAAAACTCACGCCGGGCGCGTGTGCATGCGTGCCCAAGATCCTGAGAGGAGAATGGAGGAGAAGGGATTGCGGCGTGACCATCCCTCCTGGGGGGTGATTTCTCGCTTTCTGTCTCTATGTCTCTCTCTGTCTGTCTGGCAAGCGCACGCGCCCTACAGTGAAAATCTCTCCAAAAAAAAAAAAAACAAAAAAAACACAAAAAACAGTTCGGCACACTGAGGTCCAGAGACAGGAAGTGACTGGGAAAGTCAGGATGAGTGCCTGGTCTTCTAGCCTCTCGCTCACAGCCGTCTACGGGCTTTCTGCAGAAATCCTAGGTGGTTAGCTCTGCAGGACACCTAGTCCAGGAAGGGATGCTCCTGGAGGCAGAGAGGGAGAGGGGCTGGACTTTTCTCTTTTTCTGCAACAATCTAAGCTCACAAGTGGGATGAGGGAGGTCAGGAAGGACAGCAAGCAGAGGTACCGGAAACAGGGGTCAAGAGGTCAGTTTTATATTAGCAACTGCTGGTGTGGTTGTAAAGGCACTGAACAACCATGTGGTCTACCACAGTTCGAGTCCTAGACCCAGCAACTGGAAAAATCACTCTGGGTGTGTGTGCGCATGTGTGCCCAAAATCCCAAGAAGAGAATGGAGGAGTGGCCATCCCCCTGGGGATGATTTCTTACTTTCCCTCTCTCTGTCTATCTCTCTCAGGTGAGCACACCCTATGGCAAAAATCTAAAAAAAAAAAAAAAAAAAAAAAAAAAAAAAAAAAAAAAAAAAAAAGAAAAAATAATAATAATACAAAAGAGGTCACGTTTGATGTGTGAGAAGAATGAGAAGGAGAGGCAGAAGATGAGGGGTAAGGAGGAGGTAAAGTCAGTGAAGGAGCTGCCATCCAGTCCTGGACCAGGACTGGCCTAGGGTCTGGACCGTCTTCTTGTTCTAGTACCCCCTAGGGCAAGTCCTAGCCCCTTTTTCCTCCTTAGTTTTCTCTGAGGGCTCCTCTGCTCACTAGCAGTGGATCGGCTCTAGGAGGGGCAGTGTGGTCTAAAGAGGGCCTCACACACAGGGACTCCAACTCTGCCTCTAACTAGCTGAATGCCCTGAGGAGCTAGAAAGTCTGGAGTTTAGATTCCTCACCTGTAAAACAGGATGAGGTGATCGCTCTGGACCGTTCTGGCTTTGAAAGGATTGATCCAAGACGTAGAGCCTGTGGATAGGGAGCCAGGGAAGGGGCAGATGTGGGCTTCAGAGCTCCCAGAGACCAGGCAGGCCGAGGTCTCGCAATCTTGCTTCACGGAAGGGGAAACGGCCTAGAACAGCATAGTGACGTTCTGCTTCTCTCTGCTTCATTCTTTCCCTTCTGAGCTGTAGAGTCTAAAGATTCAGCTTGAAGCAGTTCTGCGTGGTGGATTAGCCTTTTCGTTGTTGTTTCCTAAATATTTTGTTGACTTTTACAGTGTTTTACCCAAGCAATATATGCTCGTTATAAAACTTTCCATTAATACAGGAAGTGAAAGATGTAAAAAACTGCCAATTGCTGTTATCTTTCTGCAGTCACTCCCTAGGTCCCTAGGGGTGTCTGTGTTAACAATTTAGTGTGTATCCATCTGACCTTGCTGATGAACATACGAACATGTAGATCTCCTCCATAAGTGGGGTTATAATATAAATTATTTTAAAATAAACTTTAGAATCAGACATACCCAGAGTCTAATCCCAACTCATAGCTAATTATTGAGTGGTCTTGGCCAAGTTATTCAACCTTTTCATTTCAATCCTCACGTGTAGATTGGGAGTAATGGTAGTATTTATCTTATAGTGTTGTGGTGGAGATTTTTAAAAAAAAGAATTATTTAATTTTATTAATTATTATTATTTTTTAAAATGTGACAAAGAGAGAGAGAGAAAGTGAGAAAGAAACCACCAGGTCCAAGACTCAAACTGTGAAAGGCCGTGAGGGAGTCCAACGCCATAACTACCATGCCACTTGCCGATCCCTGTGGTGAAGATTTAATGAGATTTTATATGAATAGTGCTTACTAATGCCTGGTGTGTAGAAAGCAACATACACACGCACACACACACACACACACACACACACACACACACACACTCCAGGCAATTAGAGTTAGGATAAAAACTAGATTATGGGCCAGCCAGTGACATGGTGGCTTAGGAGGCTGGATCCCACATGGCCAACTGAGCAGTTCGAGTCCCAGGCCTGAGAGCTTGAAAAACACAGTAGCACAGGTGTGTACATGTGTCCAACATTCCAAGGGGAGAATGGAGAAGGGACTGTGGCATGGCCATCCCCTCCTGAGTTGCTTTCTTTTGTTCCCTCTCTCCGGCAAATGTACATACCCTATAGTAGACTTTAAAGATACAACAGACAAACAAACAACCTCCTCCCAAAAAATCTAGATTCCACGTTTTCTGACCTCCAGTTTCCTTGACTTTCTGCCACACCTCTCTACTGCTCATCTAGGCCCCCCAGACACGGTAATGCTCAACACGCTGCGCGGAGGGTTGAGGTGGAGGGGTGGCTGGTCTAAGGAGGTGAGGTTTGTGGAGTTCCTGGGATGCTGGCTCTGGAAAATGGAGGGTTTCATTCTGTGAACTGGGCAGCCGTGGGGCAGCGTGGGTTGGCGGGACAGCTGCTGCTTCAGGGCTCCATGCCGGGAGAGTTGAGCCTCGGGCAGAGTCGAGGGCCCAAAGTGGCTCTCAGCTTAGAGGATCTTAGCTTAAAAGGAATGTGCCGTGGGCTGCCCCTGCTCAGGAGGGGCTAAAAAAAGCCTCCCCCTCCCCTGGGCTTTGTGTGAGGGTTATCAACTGCTCAAGTCAGCTCTTCTCTCTGGCTGTGCTGACACTTTGGAGAGGGTCTGTTTTCCTGGCTCCTCTGGGTTTCCAGCAGTTGGCAGAAAGGGGTCGACCTGTCCCAAAGGTGGAGGCTGTGAGCAGGGAAGGTACAGAGAGGAGGGCAGAGGAAGGGGGAGGAGGGAGGAGACGTGGGGGAGGGGGCTGGTAGCCCCAAACCTGGTGACAATACGCAGTTGTCAGCTGTACCCTGCAGGCGTTTCTTCCTTTTATAGTCAGTGGCAGTTGCTCCTGCTCTCACCCAGCCCCTCTGTGGGGGCTCCTGCCCAGGATAAAAGGGAGGGAGGTGGCCTAGGCGCCTATCTCATCTTCCAGACGCAGCATCTGCATCTCTTGGGTCCTTCGTAGTCACTCCTCCACCGAAGATCCCAACATGGCTCCCAAGAAGCCCGAGCCTAAGAAGGAGGCAGCCAAGCCAGCCCCAGCTCCTGCGCCAGCCCCTGCTCCAGCTCCTGAGCCCCCTAAGGAACCTGCCTTTGACCCCAAGAGTGTAAAGGTGAGTGAGGCTCCGCTATCTGGAGGGAGTGGTGATGACATTCAGGACCCTGTTTGTCCTGGCACTTCGAGATCTTCGAGAAGGCTAGGCTGAGATGACGGATGTGGCAAGGATGCCTGGACCACAGTCCCGTGGGGCAGTGGAGCAGGTATCGGGGCTGAGAAGGGTCACAGCCCATTTCCCTCAAGCGCGGGTTGCTACTTTGTCCAAGGAAGCCCCGCTCTGCCTCCCAGGATTCACTCTGCAGAGTTGGGGATGGTGGGAGGTATAACAAACCAGTGATCCAAACTTTTCTTTTTTTTGTAGAGGTGTTTGCTTCAGGGTGTGTGCACTCGCCGAGGAGAGAGAAAGAGACAGAGAGAGAGAGAGAGAGAGAGAGACTGATAGAGAGAGACAGTGAGAGGAAAAGTGAGAAATCACACCCCAGGGGGAATGTCTACACTATAGTCCCTTCTCCTTCATTCTCCTCCTGGGATCTTGGGCATGCATGTACACACTCCTGGCATGAGTTTCAAGCCACTGGGTCTGGGACTCAAAACACAGTCAGCCATGTGGGAGTCTAGCAACATAACCACTTCTGCATCTGCTGGCCCCATGACCCAAACTTTTTAATTAAAAACAAAATTCATGAGTGTGTGTGTGTGTGTGTGTGTGTGTGTGTGCACGTGCACATGAGAATGTGAGAGAGAAATGGTGGGGCAGAACCCTTTACAGGGTCTGGTCATGCCATGTCTCCTTCCTTCAGTCTCCTAGTCCATCAGGTCCTGGACACTTGTGCCCTGGCATGTTTCAGAGCTGGCGATCTGAACATGGGATCCAGCTTCTCTCGAGCAGTGAGTTCTACTGTACCAGAGAGCTGGGCCCATCCAAACTCTTTAAAGGCACCGTGGGGACCACCACAGCAAATTGAGAAACTGACCTTTCCCCCAGTAGTATGCAACCTTAGTGGAAAATAAATGCACAACACCTCAGAGGAAACAGCGTTCTTCCTGTGTCCTGGGGACCTGGGAAAGGCTTTGCCCTAAACACCCTTACAGTGGGTGGAAGGCAGGGAGGAAGGGAGGCTGTGGGTGGGTAAGAGGAGCCAGGGTCTCTCTCCTCCTCTTCGCATCCCTGATGGGCCCGGCTGCTGTGGCCTCAGCCTGGGCGTCTATCTGTGGAGTGCAGAGAACTGGCCCATCTCCAGTGAGACCCTCTCTCTCACCGAGGAGCTGGGCCTGGTTCCCTGCCTCCCCAGCTCTATTCCCTCTCTGCCCTGCCCTGCCTCCTTCTCGCTGGAACATTCTTCTCCCAGGAGCTGGTACAGGCCCTGCCCACTGACTCAGTCATGTTAGGCCTCCCAGCCATCTGACCCAGCTGCTGAAGGAATGGGGCTGGGAGGGGGTAGGCTGAAGGGGGAGGGGCCCCGAGGCCTCCGGAGAGGAGCAGCTTTGAGCCTTGGCACCAGAATGGAAGAGGTCAAGTGGCTACTGGTATGAAGAGCTATTAATACCAGCTTGGGAGTGGTGGGCCCCTGGGGACCGCTGGCTTAGGGCAGGGCTGCAGTGGTGAGGAATCTGGTCAAAATAGGAGAGCAGGACCAGGCTGTGACCAGGACACACGGAAAAAAATAAAACCAAAAAATACAAAAAAACCCAGGGCTTAGATTATATGGCCCTCCCTGGGCCACTTGGGATTCTTCCCCGCACCCACAGCAGGGATTCCCTGCAATGACTGTGCCAAGGACCCTGATGTTGAGCCAGGATGATCCCCACAAGGACCAGAGTTAAGCAGAACTGGCTTGACCAAGAGAGGAAGGCAGTTGCCCATCCCTGGCCTTGATGACAGCTCACTCCGGGGAAACTGAGGCTAGTGTAAGACCTTGACAATACCTGAAGGTTTTCTAGGTCATGTATCACTCCCTGTATCAGCCAAACCTGGCAGCAAAGCTGACCATTTCCCCCTTGGGATGCCTCCTCACCCTTAATTCTGATTTGTTCTGCCGAAGTGCTGCACCTGTGTGCCTGGTCCTTGCCATCCAGGCCACAGCTGCTGGCGGTATCAGACATGTGCCCTCCCCTAGCCCGTCACTCCCCTCCATCCACCACCTCCCCCTGCCTCTTGCCCCTGGTTGAAATCCCCTTTCATATCTGCATCTTCCAACTGTGAGGGTTGGTGAACTTACTTTACAGTAGGAAAAATAAAAACGGATGTCTTTCCTGAGGGCCATTTTCCTTATTCTTCTGCTTACCCAATTCCTGTGCTTGGAAGAGTCTTTGCTCAGACATGGAGCAAAAGTAAACTTAAGCCCAGGGTGTGTGTTACGATCGTATATTCAGATTTTATGATTTTATACCAGTTTCCCTTACACGCTTGTCCCTGGGGCTTAAAGCGTGGCGAGGTAAACACCCTGTACCTTTCCTCAGAGAGGTCCTGCAGAGCATCCTTCACCCCAGTTAGGGGCTTCCTTTAACTTTCCGGCCACTCATCACTCTTGGCAAGGCCCATTCCTGACCCCCAGCACCCCACCCTCTGTTCATGCCAGCCATCTCTGGCTCCTTATTAGCAGAGGTTGGTTCTGGGGGTGAAGAGATGGGATGGGAGCAGTCTGAGTGTCAGAGTTAGGACCAGGAATGGTGGCCCATGATGGAGAGGCAGGAGGATTGTAACCACCACCAATGAAGGGGAGCTTGGATGGGGAGGGTGGATGAGGACAGCGAGGTAATTTAGAAGATCCTGACTCATGTCATTAAAGTAATGACTCATGCTTGGTCATTGTCACTCAGCATAGAAGTAGTAGCATGAGGAGAGAAATCCAAAATTGATTCCTTCTTTTTACAAATCTACACATACACATACATATTTTAGTTTATTTCTTTCAGGGATGGCCTCATAGCTTGGTGATTCAGGGAGCCAGATCCCCCATGGACAACCACGTGGTCTGAGTCCTAGACCTGGTGACTTGAAAAGCATCCTGGGCGTGCATACACAGAATCCCAACAGGGTGGAAAAATGGAGGACAGACTGCGGCCTGACCATTCTCCCTCGGGGTGGGGGGCGCATTCTCCTCTCCTCTCTCCCTGTCTCTCTAGTGAGTCCACATGCAAAATAAGATAAATTTAGATGAAAACAATGAAAGTTTGTTTCTTTCATGAGACTGAGAGGCAGAGGGTGAAGGAGAAGCCCCCTCATCAGGGTCTCACACCGCAGTTCCCCTCCAGCTTCTGTCAGCCAAGACCATGGGTGCACGCCCTGGCTGTCCAGGTCCACCGGGAGCCTGAGCCCATGAGCTCCCACGTGGATCTCACATTGCGAGCTGCGCACTATACGGTGCCACAGAGCTGGCCCCTTGGAAAATACGCTCTGAATGTTTACAAGGTGCTAAACATTTCAAGGGCCAGTAACAACAATCCCTGCTCCGTGGCACCGTGGCTTCAAGGCAACAAGGTAGCCTAAAGGGATGGCTAGGAAACAGTTATGAAGTCCGGAGGGCCCATGCAAATTCCTCTTGCTGACCCGAATGCCTGGGAGGGACTCAGACTGAAGAAGGGCTCAGGTGGAATGAGGTGTGGGAAGACGTCCTTGGGGGAGGTGAACTGAACATCAGCATCAAGTGAAATGGGAGTCCCAGGTGGGGAGTGGTGTGCCCAAAGCAGAGGGAAGGTCACCTTGTCAGACTGTGAAGTGGGGAGAGATGACAGGGTGGAAGCGGGAGCCGTTTATGGCTGGCTGGGATGAAGAATTTACGGTCAACCTGAAGGGATTATAGTAGGGAGTCAGCGTAGATTCTAGAATTGTTTGGAATACATCTTTTTCTCACTTTCTCTCCTACTTGGAGCTATCACTTGCCAAGTGGGGTAGTGAGAGACCTTTGGAGGCTGCATTAACTTAAATCCACTCACTCATGGCCCCTTCATCAGGAGACTCGGGTTTACACTTACCCACAGTCTCCTCCCCTCCTTAGCAGCAGCCATTGGAGGCAACCAGACCGTGGTGGTCCGTGGGTAGCCTTCAGCGGCCCCAGCCCTCACTTCTGTTTCCCTTCCCACAGATAGACTTCACCGCCGACCAGATCGAAGGTGAGTACGAATAGCCCCGCCTTGCCCTCATTGTTGCCCTTTCCTGCAGGAGGAGGAGAAGGAGGAGAAGTTGTCCTTAAGGTAACAGTAATTATCATCATCATGGCAAACTCATATTGAGCACCTACTGTGTGCTAGGCATGTTCCATGGACTAACATGTTTAATTCTTAAAACCACCCTGTGTGGTAGCAGTTCTTACCACCCCCATTTTATAGGTGATAAAACTGAGGCTCAGAAGTTGGGTGGCTTGTCCCGTTTCTCATGGCAGTCAGTGATGGTGCCAGGATATCAACTCAGGCAATCTGATTCCAGATCTGTGTTCTCAACTACTCTGCCCAGACTGCACAGAACATAATACGTGCTCAGTAAGTGTCAGTGCCCTGTCCCTTCCATCTCCAAAACCTATCCAAGGTATTTGGAAGTGCTTATGTCTGTTCCTGTTACTGGAAAGTCCCCCTCGGTTTGCCAGCTTCATGTCCTCCACCACGAAGCCTGGCGAGATGGCCACCTTACAATGGTAGGGCCAGGGGGCCTTGGGAGTGCCCTAGTCCACCTGTGATCTCCATCAACTCTTCTCCATCTTTGATGGAGTTGGTCGATATCTCTCAATCTTAGAAAAAGTTTTATGTAAGACAAAGGGCTTCAAGGCAAGCCTTGAGCGCTCCCATTCTCCAACCCGATTGACATTTCTTAGCCTCTTTTGTGAGGGCCTGGTGTTTTCAGGATGAAATGTTTCATCACGGCATAGCTACGTGTCACCAGCTGTGTCACCAGAGTGGAGCTCACCATCATTGCAACTCATCCTGCTATTTCCCCACAAAATCCTTCTAGGATATAAAATCCTAGGAATTGGAAGGGACCCTGAAAGATCATCTGATCTAGTCCTATCATTTTAAGCACATATGAGGAGACTTTAAAAAGTTCATGGAGGGCCAGCAGGTGCTTGGGGTTCTGGACTCCCACATGCTGACCATGGCTTGAGTTCCACACCTGGTGGGTTACTGTCTCACTTTCTCTCTCACTCATCAAATTAAAATTAGTAATAATAATAATAATAATAAATTAAATGAAAAAAACATTTTAAACATTCGAAGAAATGCCTGGTCAGAGCCCTCATGGGTACCCAAAGTTCAAATTCTCGCCCCAGTGGCTTGAAAAACATATCAGACCCATGTGTTAGAGGGAATGGTGTATGACTTAGAAAATCTTCAGGTACTTTCAAGGTCTTAACACTAGCCTCAGTTTCCTCAGAATGAGCTGTAGTCAAGGCCGGGAATAGGGCACAGCAGATTTTTCAAGCTGCTGGGTCCAGGCCTCAGACCACGCAGTCAGCCATGTGGAATCCAGCGGCTTTAACCACCATGACACTTGGCTGGCCTGCGGTTATACCCTTTTTTATTTTCTCAGGATTGCATTGATAGGCCTTGAGATTGTTTTCAATTTGAGAAAATCAGCATCTTTTACCCAGCTGACCTCCTTAGGAGTGGGTCAAGCAATACGTACATTTTCAGTTTTAGTAGTTATTGCCAAACTGCCCTCCAAAAAAGTGATGTCAGTCTACCCAAAGAGCATGATAACTGATACATGTATTTTAAAATCTGCCTCTATTTTTGTAATACCCTGTGGATATTCACTTTCAATGAATAGTTTTGGGCGTTCTGTGAAATTCTTAAAGCTAGTTTTCATGCACTTGAGTTTTTATTTATGTGGCTATACAAATACAGTGGGACCAGTGAGGACTGAAGAATGAATGAGTGATCAGAATTTTTATTTCTCAAACGGGGATCATGGTAAAAGCCAAGTGGGACCACTGGTTGTGTCTTCTTTCCCACGGATTTTCAGAACTGGGCACCAACTCATTCTGATCTTACATTCCTCTGACCCTGAAAATATTTTTCCATAGTTTGAATTAGAATCATTTCTCCTTTAATTTTACTTCATCCTATCTCTCTTTTTTTTTAGAGAGAGTTTTTTTGCTATAGGGTGCATGTGCTCACCGGAGAGACAGAGAGCAAGTAATCATGCCCTAGGGGAGATGGCCACGCTGCAGTCCATTCTCCTATATTCTCCTCTCAGGATTTTGGACGTGCACACACATGTGGCCGGCAAGCTTCTGGGTCAGGGACTCAAACTGCAGTTGGCCATGTGTGAGTCCAGCAATGTAACCATTATGCCATCTGCTGGCCCCCATCCTATCACTTTATTTGCCATTTGGTGAAGGGGATGATAGTTTTTCCCGTTATGGGGGAAAGAACATTATTTGGGAATCGAGAGACTTTAGTATTAGCCCTAATTCTGCCAATATTGCCTGTGAGACTCTGGGCAAGTCACTCTTTTTTTTTTTTTTTTTGAGAGATTTTCGCTATAGGGTGCATGTGCTCGCCAGACAGAGAGAGACAGAGAGACAGAAAGTGAGAAATCACCCCCCAGGGGAAATGGTCATGCCGCAATCCCTTCTCCTCCATTCTCCTCTCGGGATCTTGGGCACGCACGCACACGTGCCCAGCGTGAGTTTTAAGCCGCCGGGTCCGGGACGCGAACAGCGGTCGACTACGTGGGAGTCCAGCCATTACGCTAACTGCTGGTTCCCTGGGCAAGTCACTCTTTAGACCTTTATTTTCTTGTTTTCAATACAGTAATTCTATGAGTCTATTCACATCCTCTAGATACTGTCCATCTGTTTGAGCCCTCTAATCCATAGGTCCCTGTTCTCATTACTTCCCTCATGTTCTGTCCTCCTGGTAAGCATTGTTATATTTTCCTGAATGAAGAGATTCCCTCTTTTCTTGAACCTGACTTCATTCTTCTGAATGAATAGGAGATCAGAACGTCTGAGTTCAGATTCAACTATTAATAACAAATATATATTTATTAAGAACTGAATTTGTGCCAGACACCATGCTAATTGATTTAAAGGTTAGAAAAGTTAAATCTTGCCCCATGACCTGGTGGCTAAAGGAGCTGGACCCCAAATGGTCAACCATATGGTTTGAATCCCAGCCCTGTCAGCTTGAAAAACATATTGTGCATGTGCACATGCATGTTCCAGATCCTGAGAGGATGGAGGAGTGGAGGAGAAGGGATTGTAACATAACTGCGCCCCAGTTTTCTCTCTCTCTCTCTTCCTCTCTCTCTCTCTCTTTCTGGTGAGATACCTGAGCTTTCTGGCAGAAAAATATGAGAACAAAAACAGAAAAAAGGGGGACCAACAGGTGACGTGGTGGTTAAGGTGCTGGACACTCCCACATGGGTGACCACGGTTCGAGTCCCGGACTTGGCAGCTTGCTTTCTCACTCTTTCTCTCTCTCTGTCTCTCTCTGGTCAAATTAAAATAAATGAATGAATAAATAAAATAAAATAATTATAAAAAAAAAACAGAAAAAAGGAAAATAATATATCTTTTATTTTTATTTTTATTTTTTTGAGAGGTTTTTGCTATAGGGTGTATGCGCTCGCCAGAAAGAAAGAGACAGACAGAAAGCAAGAAATCACCCCCCACGGGGGATGGCCATGTCTCAATCCCTTCTCCTCCATTCTCCTCTCGGAATCTTGGTCATGCACACACATGCGCCCAGCGTGAGTTTAAGCCACCAGGTCCAGGACTCAAACTGCGGTTGACTACGCAGGAATCCAGCGACATAGCCATTACGCCAATTGCTTGTTTCAAAAAATAAATCTTTGTAACAAGGCGGTGAGGTAGATGTTATTTCCTCTTTATAGAGGAAGTAACCAAGATTCAGTGAGGTTCAATGATTTGACCAAAATCTCACAATTAACTGATAAAATCTGCCGGAGACTCAGCAAGATAATACTGATCCTACTGCTTGAGCATTTGCTATGTGTTGACATTGTGTTAAGGTTTTTTTTAATGTATATCGTTGTGTTTTTGCATATAATGTATTTATCTACATTATTATATGAATTCGACTCTGTTTTTGCAATTTACAGACTCTGAGGTAGGTGATATTTATAGATAAGAAGAGGTTTATGGAGGTTAAATATTTACTTGTCTCAGGTCACACGGCTAGTAAGCAATGAAAATGGAATTTGTCTAATTATTCACTTCTGTGAAAGACTTGTGGTTTTATAGCTTTTAAATTCATACAAAGCCTAGTAAAGAGTTGCAAGTAAGAGTCTGGGAGAATCTTTTTATTTTAGGCTTTTTGCCATAGGTTATGTGCACTCACTAGAGAGAGACAGAGATGAGGAGGTGAGGAGGTAGTGAGAAGTCAGCACCTGGGGGGATGGCCACACCACAATCCCTTTCCCTCCATTCTCCTCTCAGGATTTTGGGCACACACGCATGTATATGTCTGGTGTGTTTTTCAGGCTGCCAGATCTGGGACTCAAGCCCGGAGTTGGCCATGTGGGATCCAGCGCTTTAATCACCATACCACCTGCTGGCCCCTGCGAGAACTTGCTTTGCTATGTGGACTGGTTTGTAAATAATCCATGTATAGCTACTAAAGAGATAAGTATTTCTAAAGTACTTGGAAGGGATTACAAACAGCTTTTCTCCTAAGTAGTTCATATATTCTTCTTTGATTTATCTACTTTGGTTAATCTGCTTAGTAAACCACTTCTTTGTAGACTGGAGAAGGTAACTTCAGTGCCACCCTCAGCCCCAATTATCCCTGCTAGTGAACTGATTGGATCCAGATGAAGATCGAATTCAGGCTCTTTGCAAAGACCCAGGAATGTCAGTCTTGCCCTTGGATTCCTGCCCTGCTCCCTTCAAGGAGTTCGGCCTCTGTAGTCCTTAGCTGGCTCCAGAACTAGGAAACAATAACTACCCTTTGCCAAGTCTCTTACCATGTACTAGATACCATGCTCGATCCTCTGTGATCCTGCCAGCCACCAACTAGGTGGACACTGTAACCCCACTGAGAGCCCAGAACTCGAGGACCCGCAGAGGTTAGTGGTTTGCCCAAGGCCACATCTGAGCCAGTGGTAGAGCTGCGGTGGTCTGACCCCTTCTGCAGTGTCCCCTCCTCTGGCCTGGAAGCCTCCTTTCAGCCTGGAAGTCAGTACTGATAATAGCTGGCTTTTGAGCAGGTCTTATCACTTGCAAAGTGTCTCCACATACCGCCTCGACCTTTGACACTCACAGTAACTGGGAGGGCCGGGTGGGGAGGGCGCCGTTACTCCGCTTGTGTGCACAAGGAAACCGAGACCCAGCCCTGCTCTTAGAGGCAGAGCCAAGGCGAGGACACAGGAATCTTGACTCCAGGGCCAGTGCTATTTTCACTTCCCTGCCATTTTCTTCTTTATTCTGCGAGAGACACAGTCTCTCTCTCTCTCTCTCTCACACACACACACACACGTGGAAGGGGAGGGGAGGACTGATACCATCAACAGGGTCTTCACTCTGCAATCCACCCCTGCCATGACCTGTCTGGGTCACAGGCATGTGCAAGTGCTCCTGACGTGCTCAGGGATGTCCTGGGACACGAACACGAACCTTTCCTGTGGGGTCTAGTTGTGTGACCACTGTACCACTGCTTGGCTCCATCTTGCCATTTCCAGCAAGATGGAGTCAGGGAGGGCTGAGTGCATGGGGGATGAGGCAGGGGAGACACCCACATTGTGTCACAACTCTCTGGTGGGAGAGGTCTCAGACCCTGTGCTGAACAGGTCATGGAGATGCTGGGCCGGGCGTCTCTCTAGTTGTCAGGAGAGTGTGTGGGGGAGGTCCAAGGGAGGGTCTGGGACCAGATTATTTGAACAGATCTGCAATTCAGCCCTGGTGGAGGCTAATCAGCCCTCAGCCACTGCCTTACTGGGGCTAAGGACTGAGCCTGGTCTTCTCCCTGCAGAGTTCAAAGAGGCCTTTTCGTTATTTGATCGGACCCCAACGGGAGAGATGAAGATCACCTACGGGCAGTGTGGAGATGTGCTGCGGGCTCTGGGCCAGAACCCCACCAATGCCGAGGTGCTGCGTGTCCTGGGCAAGCCCAAACCCGAAGGTCAGTGGAGGCCACCGGTGTCCGTCCCACTGGGCTCCTGGTCCAGATCCGTTTCCTGTCATCCTTGCCCTCTTCTCCTTCTTCAGCCCTTCAGGCCCAGCTTTCCTCCCCAGGTTACCCTCGCTCCGTTGTGAGAATTAATCTAGAGGCCCTGGAACTTAGCTGACCTTGAAAAATGTAGCCTGGACTTGCTCCCAACGAGGCTGGGAGCTCCTGGGGAAGAGGAGCAACATTCTGTTGCTTCAGTGTCTTCCCCGATGCCCTTGACCTGGGTGCCAGGGACTCATCCTTGGGCAGGAAGCCTTGGTGGGAATCTGGTAACTAACTGCTCCCCTGCCCCCAGCCCAGCAGCTCATAGTCAAGGAGATGTCCTGTGACCACTGTGAGTTGTATCATGAATAACTTTTTTCTAGAAATGGTGAGAACACCAAACTTTGCAAATTATTTTTTAAATTTAAATTAGAGCAGATCCGAGATTAACTCTGTAATGACATCTCTTTCTCTCATGTGCATTCTGCTCAGGATTCTTTTTTTTTTTTTTTTTGGAGAGAGATTTTTGCTATTAGGGCCCATGTGCTCACCAGAGAGACAGAGACAGAGAGACAGAAAGTGAAAAATCACCCCCTGGGGTGGGGAGGATGGCCGTGCTGCACTCCCTTCTCCACTCTCCTCTTAGGATTTTGGGCGTGCACGCACATACATCTGGCATGATTTTCAAGCCACTGGGCCCGGGACTCGAAACATGTTCAACTATGTGGGAGTCCAGCACCTTAACTGCTATGCTGCCTGCTGGTTACCATTCTGCTCAGTTTTGATGAATATTTTGAAAGTGGTGCAAGGGAGTATGTTCCACTGCTAATGTCATCTGTTATGTGTGGCAGTAAAGTTAACAACTGCCCTGAAACAACAGCCTTATCCTCCTGGTCAGAGTGGGGGTGCAGACAACCCCAGGCAGGACCTCCCAGCAAGGGTGGTATCCCTAGAGGTTTCCTGGACTCTGCGTTGGTTCATCCCCCACTTCCCTTGGCTCCAGCTCCTTTTCCTCTTCCTCTTACTGAAGATACCGGTGTGGGTGAGAAGGATGTGGTCAGGAAAGGGCCAGAGACCTAGGGGCCTGCCCAGCTCACTAGGGCTTCTCAGAGGCCAAAAGGTAATCTGGGTCTCTTCCATTTTAGGGGGTTCCATTTCAGGGGGTTCCAGTGTATCCTGGATGGGAAATCTCATTTTGTTTGCTGTAAGGATGTATAGTGAATGAATGTCAATAAATAAATTTAAAGGGATCAGCAGTTAGCGTAATGGCTATGTCACTGGACTCCCATGTCAACTGCAGTTCGAGTCCCGGACCCAGTGGCTTAAACTCACGCCAGGCCCGTGTGCGTGCGTGCCCAAGATCCCTAGAGGAGAATGAAGGAGAAGGGATTGCGGCATGGACATGCCCCCGGAGGGTGATTTCTCGCTTTCTATCTCTCTGTCTCTCTCTGTCTTTCTGGTGAGTGCACACGCCCTATAACGAAAACCTCTCCAAAAAAAAATTTTTTTTAATTAGAAAAAAAATGGCTTATACCTCTAAACACAGTACCATGTAGGGGAAGTGTGCTAGTTATTCTTAAGGGGATTGCAAATTTATAAAATTAATTGATTCAGCATTCCAGGCAATGAAGTCTAGTAATGGGGCCCAAATACAGAGTTTTGCAAAAATTCCTTTTTCAACCCTGTTTGTTTGCTTCTGTGGCTGTATGTCCGTCCTGTGTGAAAGCTCAGTTGTGAATGTGAGGCCTGGGCTGTGTGACCCTTTAGGCCACACCCGGACCTCTGAACCCCCTCGCCTTGCTGGGGCCTGGGGGCCTTTTCTCCTCTGTCTTATTCCTTTTACTGAGGACAGAGGGACCCGAGTCCACGTCTCCCAAGCCCCACGTGTGCCCACTCTCCAGTGTCACTGACTGGGTGTGCCCCCCAGAACAGCTCGGCCTGAGCCCTGTGTGCTGCCAGGGCTGGGGCGAGTCCCCAGTGCCCCTCCGCTGCCCTGTGCGTCTGCTCACGTTGCTCTCTCTTTCCTCCCACACCCGTGTACAGAGATGAACGCCAAGATGCTGGACTTCGAGACCTTCCTGCCCATCCTGCAGCACATCTCCCGCAACAAGGAGCAGGGCACCTACGAGGACTTCGTGGAGGGGCTGCGAGTCTTTGACAAGGAGAGCAACGGCACGGTCATGGGCGCCGAGCTTCGGCACGTCCTTGCCACCCTGGGTATGCCCACTGGGCAGGGACGAAGCTCACGTGGGAGGGGCTGAGGTGGCAGGAGCTGGTGCACAAGGGTCCCAGGCCTGAGGCTTTCGTCGACCAGGCTCCATCTGCCTGGGTGCTGCAGGAATGATCTTCCCCACCTGGGTTTGCTCAGCAGGTCCTAGGGCTTGGGAAAGGAGTGGAGAACAGGTTGGCAGAGCAGGAGCCAACCTGAAGTGAGAAGGGAGACCTGGGCTTCTCTTCTGGTCTCTGCCTCAGTCACTGGGCCCTGGGGGTTATAAGGCAGAGGGAGGGGCTTTAGTGACTGGGAGGAGCTTGAGACCTGGGAAACCACCCTTTCAAGCCTTCCCAGATCCAGGGAATCTTGGACTCTCAGACTTGATGGGGTCCTCGGGCTTTGCCCCTCCGTTGCCATCTGTAATTCAGAGCCCACACCTCCCAACCCCACCAGGAGAGAAGATGTCGGAGGCTGAAGTGGAGCAGCTGTTAGCTGGGCAAGAGGATGCCAATGGCTGCATCAATTATGAAGGTATCAGGTCCTGCCCGGCTTCCAGGTGCCCAGGGATGAGAGCAGAGGGTGGGCCCAGGAGCTGGAGAATACATGCGTCAGATGGGCTTTGCCATGCCCTCAACGGATGTCCTCTTCCTTCCTGGGAGGGAACATCCTGGCATAACGGAAGGAGCCAGGGGCTCAGACATAGCTCTCTGATAGACCCGCTGTGTGAGCGTCATCAGGCTACCCACTGTCCTGGAGCTTTGCTCTTCTCATCTGAGCAACTGGGGTGATTCTGGCACCTTAAGGCTGTGGGGGTTCATAAGTTAATGTAGCTCATTTATCGCTGCCAAGTATCAGTACGAAGTGTGGACACAGCAGAGTTTAGGTCTCTTTCCTTCCTCCACCTTCTCCTTACCAATTAATTCCCAAGTACGGAAGAATTCGTCTGGAGAAGGGGTAGTGGAGAGTTTGAAGTGTAGGGGAGGATGAAAAGGGGAACAGAGCTGCACAGATGCGGAGGCCAGGGCTGATTTCTGTCTTTTTTTCCCAGCCTTTGTCAAGCACATCATGTCTGGATGAAAGAGATCCCTCCAGGGTGAGTGCAGTCTCTCCTTTCTGGTCCCTTCTGGGGCCACAAGTGATTTTGTAGGAGACCTCATGCTCAGGGACCTTCTGCCTCAGGCCTGTCCCTTTAAGAGGAAGCAGCCTGGCCAGAGCACCCCTCCCACCTGCATATTAGCTGTGTCCCACCCTCACTCCCTTCTGCCCACATCCTGCCTTCCCTTGCTTTTTCACCCAGCTTGGCCTTTAGCAGCCCCATCCTCCTGCCAGACCCTGGGTCTCCCCAGGCACGACCATTCCCTTAGGCCTGGGGTTCCTGGCCAGGCTTCAGGGGGGTGAGAAAGGCCCCTGGGCTGTGCTTTTGGACCTGTTCTTCCTCTGTCCCTTCCCTGGGCTCCCCTGTGCAGGTGCCATCAGCTGGTGATGGTGATGCGGGGCCTGTGATCCGGGCTGGGTGTGGGAGGGGGCAATGCCCTCTCCACTGGCACTTTCTTTCAGGGCCTGACCCTTGGCCTTAGCCATCCAGGCTGAGTAAGCAAGAAGCCCGGAGTGACGTGCTGAGATGGAGTCCTGGACTCACACCGCCCACAGCCCAGGGGCTCCCAGGACCTCAGTTCTCCTGTAAATAAACAGCTCTGGCAAGGCGGGGCTGAGTTCCCTGATTCCGACCAATGTCTGAGTTCTTTTTAGAGTCAGTAACTGATGGAGTTAGGGATTTTGTGTGTGTGATGATGTCACCCAAGAATTCATGTGTCATCAGAGAAATCGGTAGTGCTGGGAGCTGGAGGATCTAGCAATACTGGGGCCAGGCACATGAGTCAGAGCTCTGGAAGGGTCTGCAGTTTGAGAAGCCGTCATTGTCATTGGGAGGGTTTCGTTGCCCTCTGAGGCTCATCCTCCATTTCTGTCATCTCCAGGCAGCAAGTAGGAAGAGGGACATCAGAGCTGAGTTAAGCATTCTGCCTTGGTCCTTGCTGCTGCTGCTTTTTAAAGAAAATTATAGTAAGGGCGAGCAGGTGGCATGATGTTTAAGGCACCGGACTCCCCATGGCTGACTGTGGTTCAAGTCTCGGACTTGGCAGCTTGCTCTCTCACTTTCCCCCTCTCTTTCTCGGGTGAGCGTGTGTGCCATTTAGCAAATTAAATAATAATAATGAATAAAATTAAATAAAAACAATTCATAACAAAAGAAAATTGTAGTAAAACACTCAAGATTTACCATTGTAATCGCTTGTAAGCTCACCAGTCAGTAGTGTGCAGCAACCGATCTCTAGAACCTCTTCAGATTCTCCAACTGAACCTCTGTGCCCGTTCCACACCAGCTTCCCACCCCCCTCCCCCAGTCCTTGGCCATCAGCATTCTACCTTCCATTTCCACAAATGTGACTTTAGATAAGTAACATCATACAGTAACACTGGTCCCCCCTTGCCCCCCTGTCTGAGGGGATACATTCCAAGACTGCAGGAGATGCCTGAAAACATGGATGGTACCGAACCTTCAGGTACAGGATTTCCTACACACACCCACCTGTGATAACGTTTACTTTATGAATTACAGGTAGTAGAGATGAACAATAGGCTGTACTTGGGGGAACCCACGCAGGAGCCAGTGTAACATCTTCACTGTCTGGGACTTGAGCTACACAGTCGGCATGTGGGACCCAGTCGCTTTGACCCCCACACCACCAGCTGGTACCTTTGGGGACAGAGAGGTTAATTCTTCTGGTTTCTCCCCTCCAATTAAAGGCATTATATAGCATATTCACATTCTTTATTTTTTTTTAAGAATTATTCCATTTAAATTTATTTATTTATTGGTTTATTTTAATTTGACCAGAGAGGGACAGGGTGAGAGAGAGAGAGGAAGTGAGAAATCGAGCCACCAGATTCAGGACTCAAACCCAGGTCCAGGATTTGAACCACGTTTGGCCATGTGGGAGTCCAGTGCCCTTAACCACTAGGCAACCTGCCAGCCCCCATATTCATATTCTTAAAATACCATTTTCAGGGCCAGCAGTTGGCGTAATGGCTATGCTGCTGGACTCCCATGTAGTCAACCGCAGTTCAAGTCCCAGACCCGGTGGCTTAAACTCACGCCGAGTGTGTGTGCGTGCGTGCCCAAGATCCCAAGAGGAGAATGGAGGAGAAGGGATTGTGGCATGGCCATCCCCCCTAGGGGGTGATTTCTCGCTTTTTGTCTCTCTCTCTCTCTGTCTTTCTGGCGAGCGCAGGTGCCTTATAGCAAAAACGTCTCCATATAAAACCAAAACCTTTTCATCATACTTCTCTTCCTAGTTAGAACTTACAAAAGCTCCTATGGCCTGCTAGGTCATTTCTAGACCTTCCTATCTAGGGTCTAAGGCCTTCCTTTATTTGCCCCTAATCTAGGAACATGGCTTGTTGCCCCCCTGACCTCCTTCCTTTCTGGTAGCTACTTTCTCCTCCTTCCTCTTAATTCACCTCATTCCCCTGCATTCCTCTTTCTGCCCACTCAAATTAGTCCAGTGTTTCAAGACCCAGCTCAAGCTCACCGCTTCTCCAGAGCTCTTCCCACTGCTACAACCCTCCCCACTCCCCTTGATTTAGTTTGTGAGGGCCGTTTATGAATACAGTCACTAGCCTGGAACTGAAGACGTCAGAGCTAGAGGAGACCTTGGAGACATCTCAGGGAGTGTAATCACCTGAGGGCAGTGTTTAGCACAAGTGCAATTCCGTGTCGGCCATCCTATAAAGACACTCAGATTTGGGGACCAGCAGTTAGTGTAATGGCTGTGTCGCTGGACTCCCACATAGTCGACTGCAGTTCAAGTCCCGAACCCGGTGGCTTAAACTCAAGCCCGGCACGTGTGCGAGCGTGCCCAAGATCCCAAGAGGAGAATGGAAGAGAAGGGATTGAGGCGTGACCATCCCCTCCAGCGGGTGATTTCTCGCTTTCTGTCTCTCTGTCTTTCTGGTGAGCGCATGCGCCCCATAGCAAAAACCTCTCCAAATAAATAAATAAAAACACTCAGATTTTAAGCCACTGTGTTGGTGGTGGCTGGTGATGCAATATCCATCTGACACCACTAGATGGCACAGTTGCAACAGCTTGCTTCTGACAGGCCGCCCAAGCTGGTCTGGAAGCACATTGCAGAATTCACTTACTTCATCTTTATGCCTTCAGGAAAACGGAGGTTTTGTTCACTTTCAAAGATTCACAGCAATTAGCAAGCTTGCTTCAGTAACCCCACAGAGGTTTTGCAACGCCGGGTCATGGAGAGGACACTGCTGTGGACATGGAGACTGGCATCCAGCCCAGCTGTGCTCACAAGTCACAAAGCCAAGTCACTCAGCCTTAGTTCCACAGGTTGCAAAAATGAGGGAGTTGATTAGATCATTTTAACATCCTTTCCGGCTCTCTGATATTAATCACTTAGAACTCAAACAACTCCCTCTCACTACATTTGACTTCAGTGCATTTGTTTTATTTATTTATTTATTTTACCATATTGTGTATGTGTTTAGGACCCTACGTGGTGGAAAACACTCATTCAAAATAATTACTGAATGAACAATACTAAGTATTTTAGGAAATAAAAAACAAAGTCACCCATGGTTCCTCCATCCATGAATTTATTCTGTACTTGAGGAAAAATAATATGAGTGAAAAGTTAAACTACATTATAAGACAAAACAGGAGAAATGAGACTAGACAGCATATGTCTAAGGACCAAGGGACAGATGTGGAGCCAGAGCACCACTCAAAGGAGGAGGAGGAGTGGTCAGGGAGGGCTTCGTGGACGAGGTAAACAGAGAAGGACCCAGGGAGTGGGATTCCAGTCAGAAGGCACAGATGCCTTCTCCTTTCCAACTAGAGCTACAGTCTCTACGTTTTCGGATTTAGGTAAAAATAAGTCAATAGGCCCAACTGTGGTAGTTCATGCTGGATGACACTACTGCTTGGCAATCTGAGGCCATTGGTTGGATTCTTGGCTTGCCTAACATGCTGGGCATGGCCACACCTATAGTCCCAGCTACTTGTGATATGAAGGCATGAGGATTGTGACATAGTGAGACTGTGTCTGTTACAAAAGAAGAAAGAAAGAAAAAGAAAAAGGAAAAGAAGAAAGAGTGAATGAAGGAAAGAGCTACTCCTATAGCCTAGTGGGCCAGGGAGCTGGATTCCACATGGCTGACCACAGCTTGAATCCCAGTCCCTGCATCTTGAAAAAATGGGCCCCAAATCCTGACAGGATGGAAAAGAGAAGGAGAAGGGATTGTGATGTGATCCTGCCTCATTAGGGGATGTTTTCATCCTCCCCTTCTCTTTTTTTCTCCCTAGTGAATTCGTGGGAATTTTGGCATTAAAAAAGTTTTTATTTTTTAGAGAAAAGTTTTTTTTTTTTTTTTTTTTCTCTTTGTTTTTGTTATAGGGTACTTGGGCTTGCTGGAGAGAGACAGAAAAATAAGAAATCACCTCCCGGGGGAATGGCCATGCCCTAATCACTTCTTTTTTTTTTTTCCTTTGGAGAGATTTATGCTATAGGGCACGTGCGCTCGCCGGACAGACAGACACAGAGAGACAGAAAACGAGAAATCACCCCCCGGGGGGGATGTCCATGCCGCAATCCCTTCTCCTCCATTCTCCTCTCGGGATCTTGGGCAGGCACGCACATGTGCCCGGTGTGAATTTAAGCCGCCGGGTCTGGAGCTCGAACCGCGGTCGACTATGTGGGAGTCCAGTGACATAGCCATTACGCTAACTGCTGGTCCCCCCCAATCACTTCTCATCCACTCTTCTCTTGTGATTTTGGGCATGCACACAAACACACTCAGCATGTTTCAAGCTGCCGGGTCTGGGACTTGAACTGCAGTCGGCCATATGTCCAGCGGCATAACGACATGGTGTAACCATTATGCCATTTGCTGGTATCTAAAAAAGTTTTTCAAAAGCTGGTGGTATGATGGTTAAGGCAGCCAGATCCCACATGGCCAAGTGAGTAGTTTGAATCCTGGACCCAGCAGCTTGAAAAACACCCTGTGTGTGTGTGTATGCGTGCTCAAAATCCTGAGAGGAGAATGGAGGAGAAGGGATTGTGGTGTGGCCATTCTCCCCCTGGGGGGGAGATTTCTCACTTTCTCTCTCTCCCTGGGGAGTGCATACACCCTATTAAAAAAAAAAACCTAAAAAATTAAATTAAATTAAAAAAAATAAAAGGAAGATAAAAGACTGGAAAATGGATATGAGCAAAGAGAAGGAATGAAAGCCAGAGGAAGAGTGAGTAGCAGTTCACTCTGGAGCTATGTGCATCGTCTCAGAAGGAGAGAAGCAAAGTTAAAGAAACTGAAGGTGAGTGGGAGTACTACCACTTCCCCCCATCTTGTAGAACCTCAGAATCACAGGCTTGCGGGGTTGGAGAAAACCTCTAGTTCAAACCCTTCCAGAAAAGAATTGCTGTCATCTTCTTACTACCTGTACACCCTTGAGGTTTCCATCAGCCTATCCTGGACTTGTCTTCCAATGTGACCCAGAAAAGATCCAACACCATTCACTCCCCATGATTGAAAAAAAAAAATAAAAAATAAAGTTGGTGTTTCCTCTGTCCTCAGCCAAGTGCCTCCCAGCCAAGATTCGTGAACCCATTTGACGTGGCCTGTTGTTCTCTAACTTGTCCTGTCTTCA